ACTTGTTTACAAGCAAATTACGAAAGAGAAGAGATATGCTTAAAGTGCCTTTCGTTTATTCAATTGATTACATGTACAAGGTACAGTTGACTACCTTCCCAACGAGACAGGCACAGACTTGCTTTGAAATCCTCATGCATACACCATTTTGCCAGTGGAAACGAAACACCACACCTGGCCTTAGCCACCTCACCACCCATCCATCTATCTAACTAATGATCCATCCAGCTGCTATCTGTCAACCCAACCTCCCAACCACCCACCTACCAAATCACCCACCCACCCACCCAACTACCCACTTACTTACCCACAAATCTACTCTCCCACCTGTCTATCTGCCACACTTACCCTCTACAGTCTATGCAATTCTATGTCTCATGCAACCATGGGATGGTCCAGAGTTGAAAGTGGGTGCCACTTGTCACGTGGTGAAGTATGGATGAGGGGGTATTGAGGAGGGGGTTGAGAACAGAGGCGAGGACGAGGACGAGGACGAGTGGGAGGATGAGGATGAAGAGACCATATTCCCACTGTCCTCCCCTCACCTCCTTTCTCCATCTTCGCCTCCTCCGTTCCTCCCTGCCTCCTGTCATACTCAGTAGATAGCCTAGGCATCTGTGTATCGGTCAGTGTTGTGGTGCACAGTATGTGGCATGAGGTGGTGCGTTGTCGCGCAACTGAAAGTGAGGACGATTGTTCACACTGGCTCACTAGATTTGTCTGCTTCTGAAGAAGTGGGAGAAGAAGAAGAGGGGGAGGGGGAAAAAGTGGGAGAAGAAAGGGAAGTGGTTGCATTGAGTAGACAGGTGTCAGTTCTACTTGCTACTTGACCATTGTTGCTTGATCCTCACGAAGTGAAAAATTGCATCTGCAGTCCACCCCACACATAGCAGCATGGTCTTGTGAGCGGTGAAGTGGTGTGTGTTAGGGAAGTGTGGAGTGAGTAGTGGAGGATGATGCGTGGTGGACAGTGGGTGGTGGGTCGTTAGGGGACAACCAAGGACGTGTTAGTCGCCATCACCACCTAGTCAGTGAAGCATTCAACCAACAGGTAAGCTGAGGTGTCTGGTGCATGATGCATGAAAGGTAGGTGGAAGAAATGAAGAACAAGGTGATGCTCCATCAAGCCCATTGTCTGTCGCATGTGAATGCACGTCTTGTTGGCAGGATGCAGTTGGTTGGCAACACAACCGTCATCACATCTCTCCTTTCCCACCTAGTTGTTGAGGTATGTGTAAACGAGCTGTTACGTTAGCGCTGAGATGAAGCAGTGTGGGAGTTCTCTCTGTCTGGTTCATCGCCAGTTACTTTGTTGTGTCAGTGCTGACAAGGAGTGGAGGGCATTATTATTCTTGGTACATCGCTAGAAACGAATGGTTGTAACACTGTCAGAACGGCCCGTGTTAGCTGCTGTGGGCAGCACCTTCTCGAGATGCACGAAGCGTCTGTGTCTGCAGAATTGTTGGT